CGTTCACCTCCGAGCAGTCCTGATGCTCGGTCCTCAGGTGCTTCATTATCACACCAACGCACCACCAGAGGCTGCCATAAGAGCCTATGCAGCCTTTTGCCAAGCTCATGGGACACTGCACCAATACTCTGCAAATGGCTGGGCATGGTGGTGCACTCCAGTAACCCCAGGACTCGGAAGGCTGAGGCAGGAGGACCATAGTGAATTCAACGCCAGCCTGGGTTACAAGTGAATCTCTGTTTCAAAAACAAAACAAAACAACAGACTCAAAGAAATCTTATTCCAAGGCTACTGATTGCATGAGAACAGATGCAATTTGCTCATTAACCCTTCTGAAATCAGGCATCAGGAATTCTACAAGCATGGTAGCACAAGTCTGTGGAAGACTGCCCACCAATTCGAGGTCAGCCTGGGCAAGCGAGTTCAAGGCCAGTCTGAACTATACAGCAAGACCATGTCTCAAAAAACAAAAAACAATGGGGGCTGGGGATTTAGCTGAGCAGCATAAGACCCTTCCTCGCAAGCGCAGTCGTGAGTTCGATCCCTGATAAACACACACACACACACACACACACACACACACACACACACAAATTCTATAAAAGTACACTACTAACACTTTCCAAAGGACTTTGCCAAGAGGATTAACAGGCTGGTGGTATTGAAAACAGACCAACAAAAATCTAAACATCACCTCAACAATTTCGCATGTGTTAAAAGTACTTAAGCCTGGACAATTTCAGTTGATCAGCTGCAGACTCAACCCCAGCTAAGTCACTACACTGCCCAGGCAATCCTACTCCATCAGTCTCCCAAAACAGTACAGGTGTTCACTACCACACTTGGCTGAGCTTTGACATATATACACAACTGTAACACTATCACTACAGTCAAAATAAAGAAACAGAGGGGCCAGGGATACAGCCCAGCAGCGCAGTGCCTGCATGGCAAGCACAAGGTCCTGAGTTCAATTTCTGGTACCATCCCCCAAAAAAGAAAGAAGTATCTTCATGAACCTTTCTTCTACTCCCTTCCATCATTTCCTCTTTATCTCCAGACAACTATAGATTACTTCGTATTTTCTAGAATTTCTTTTTTTTTTTTTTTTTTTTTTTTTTTTTTTTTTTTACTAGTACCGGGGATCGAACTCACAACTGCCTGCTTGCAAGGCAGGTGCTTATACCACTGAGCTAAATCCCCAGCCTAGAATTTCATATAAATGGAACATATGCATTCTTGTTTATCTGGCTTCTTCTACTCAGCATAAATCAATGTTGTATCAATAGTTCACTGCTTTTTATTGCTGAGTAATAGTCCACTGATTTAGTCTGGGGAGCATGAGCACAGGTTGTATGCAAATACAACACCATCTGACCTAAGGGCACCAGCATGCGTCAGTCTCCCAAGGACACTGGGATATACATATATGATAAATATTTGACTATTTGTTATTGCCAATATTCTCTCACTAAAACAAGCCTTTTGAAGACAAGGATTTTATTTCACCCATTGCTGTATCCCTAGTATCTAGGACAGTGGACCCAGCTTACTTCTGAATTCCACAAATACTATATTAACTTGTTGATTACACAATATTTAGCCAGGTGTGGTGGTGGGCACCTGTAATTCCAGCACATAGGAAGCTGAGGCAGGAGGATCACCTGAGTTCCAGGCCAGCCTGGGCTACATAGTGAGCGCAGGGCCAGCAAGACTGTCTCAAAAACAAACAAACAAACAAACATTATTATTTTTTCAAAAGCACCTGCCTAGAATTTACTGAGAAGAAAAAATTTAATTCAAATGCTCTGCTGTTCCTTAAATTAAAACATTAAATTGCTGTGATCTACTTCTTATAATGGACTGGTTTTTAGATGACATTTAACTTCACACAGCACTTACAGAAAGGAAAGAACACTAGAATTCAAAGGCCAGAAAGTCCAGGTCTGGCCACTGCCTTACCACAATTATCAATGCTACAGCCACTGAGTCATAAACTCTCCTCATCTCAGATAACTTCTAACATGCTATAACGATTTGTCACTGTACTGCAGTCTTATGCATCAAGGTTACAACATAAATTACTCAACCTAGTTTGAGTCTCATTCCTCATAATCCAAAATTGTTAGCTGAAGGACCTATATAATTATAAAAACCTATGAAAAATAGCCATTTTTGAAGCAGGTGTGGTGTACCTGCCTGTAATCCCAGCTACTCAGAAGACTGAGACAGGAGGATGGCAAATTAGAAGCCAGCCTGAGAAATTTACTGAGACCCTCTCTAAATCAATTAATCAACCAATCAATCAATCAGGCTGGGCATGGTGGTGCACACCTGTAATCCCAGCACTCAGGAGGCTGAAGCAGTAGGACTGCTGTGAGTTCCAGGCCAGCCTGGGCTACAAAGTAAGTTCAAGACCGGCCTGGACTGCATAGTAAAACCCCGCCTCAAAAAAAAAAAAAAAAAAAAAAAAAGATCAATCAGACTGGGGATGTAGCTCAATGTAAATCTCTGGTTCAATCCCCAGTACCAAGGCAAAAAGCCATTATTCACCTAGATGTCCACTGGAAGGGCAGGCTTGGAAGAGTGTACTTTATACAGGTGGTAGCACTTGAAAAGTGAACTTTAAAAAAAAGAGACACTTCTAATCTTCATATAAAGAAGAAACATTTGCTCGGAAGGAAACAATAATACCTGCTTATTACTCCCCCAATAGCAATTTATGGCATTTAAAATAATTACAAGGGGCTGGGGATTTAGCTAAGCGGCATAAGCGCCTGCCTTGAAAGCAGGCAGTTATGAGTTCAATCCCTGGTACCGACAAAAAAGAAAAAGACAAAAATAAATAAATAAATAAATAAAATAAAATAAAATAATTACAAATACAGGGCTGGGGACGTAGCTCAGTGGAGAGGGTGTGGTCAACAAGGCTCTGGGTCTGATAACTGGCACCACCAAAAACAAAACAAAAAATTTGCAAATACAAATCTCACCCATGTATGGAAGCAGAAAAATATTATGATTAGGAGCAGATGTACTGGAAAGAAACAGAATTGGGTTAATTTCCAGATTCTCTATGTGCTCTATGCCAGACACACCTGCATTGCACTTTACTTGCCTCATCTGTGCAATGGGTACAAGATATAATTGTTAAAATGAGTAACAAGATTTAGTTCCTAAGGTCTTTTGAGAATTTCTTAATATCAGACACATAGGATTTATTTAATTGATATTATTAGTAAATAATCAAATATAAATTCATCCACATAAACAAACCTCAGGGACACAAAAGCATTCTTAGCTATCTATTTCTCTTGATACCATGCAGCATGCATAACATGGCAAGAAATGTTTAAAAAAGCAAGTTCTTCACTACTGTCACACATATTAGTTTCTGCCAAGTCAGACCATAAATGTGTAAAAACATTTTTTTAAATCTACCAAGTTATAGAATTTTTCTTTTAAAATCTTTCTTTGGTAGAAATGCCTAACAAATTCACTCAGTACATATGGAGTAAACACTTTAGGAAACCCAACTTAATGGCTCAAAAATTTTAACTAATACTACTTTTTAATCCTAAAAATAAATTATATATACTTATAAATGTATATATTATATATTTTAAAACATTTTTGGTTGCCCGAACTTCGATTCGTCTCCAAGGAACAAAGACATTCACCTCCCACCTCTCACACCCAGCAGAGTCAATTTAATTAAAAGACTGCACCATCGCAGCTTAATACCCTTTGAGTTTTCAGGCAAAGAAGACACTCAGACACACCTCGCTTTTTATAGAACAGGCCCAAATGAAACATAATAAAATTGCGATTCCATGGGAGGAATTCCCTACCAACTTAAATCTTCTTGGCTTTGGTGGGCAGATTGTAAAAGAAGTCAATTATAGTGTTCAAAACGGAAATGCTGAAGCAACCTCATAACCAGACACAAAAATACAGTGGACTGTGTTCGCATCTCAAGCACATCCCACCGTCTCGGGAAACGCGATCCAATCACGTCGTTTCCAGAAACACACAGCAATCCATTTCTATAAATGTTCGTCGTGCTGAAAGGCAAAGCGCATCAAAAACCGCAAAACACAAAAAGATTCCTCGCATTCCGTTTATAGCCAGAGACAGGCCATCCTCTCTGCGCCTACCCCAGGGAGTCCTCCTTGCGACAATAAGAATTTCAAGACACTCAACGCTGCCTCCACACCAAAATGTCATCCTCCAAAGTCGAAGGGGCGCAGTGTCAGCACCCGCAGCCTCCATGAAATGACACCGCCTGTCTTCCCACCTCTGGGAAAACATGAAACCGAGCGAAGTCGGAGGAAGTTCCCATCCACCTTGAGTGTCTGGTTTCCTTCTGCCCCCCGCCCTAATAGCACAACTGCTGAATCTGCTGTTGCACCTGCCACGACTCCCGAGTCTGCGACCCTAGAGGACACCCGGGAGCGCACAAAAAGGCCCTGCGGCCTAAGGCGTCCGGGACCCTTGGCGGCATCCCTGTCGTCGCCGTCCACACCGCCCGCATCCCTGACAAAGGCCCCCGTGTCTGTCGGAGGCACGACACACAGAAGTTGCTGGATCGCCCATTGAGGACTGACAGCTGCCGCTGCACCCTCTTCCAAACGCACACACACAATCCAAGCAAGACTGAGAAGGGGGAAGAGGGAGGGTTAAAATGTTAGAATAAAAATGTCCCCAAGCCTGAGCAACCCGGGTGTGCCCTGGAAGCGAGTCCCAGGGGCGCGAGGGCTCGGTAAACGCCAGGGTCCGAAGGTTTAAAAGGAAACCGCAGATGAATCCCCGGCCAGCAGGCGAGCGCGAGGCCAGAGGCGGCGCGGGGGCTGCAGAGCGCGGCCCCCACCTGCGGGCCCCGCGCCCACTCGCACCTGCGGGCGCCATGGCGAGGCCGGGCCCGGGCGCGGCGAGGACGCGGACCCGCACTCCCGAGCGGGGGTCGGCAGGGCCGGGTCCCTGACGGCCACCGCCTCGCTCACCTCCAGGTCGGTGTCGGCGGCCTCCGGAGCCCCGAGGATTTCGCTGGGCAGCTCGGCCAGGTCGGTGACCCGAATGAGCCCGTCGTGCAGGAAGATGGTCTCCTCTTTCACCGAGAGCCACTGCGCCGAGTCTGCGGCCGCCGCTGCCGCCGCCGCGGCCGCGGAGGAGCCCATGGCCCCGGCTGAGGGCTCGGCGCTGACGAGCGGACGACCGGACCTGGACGCCGGCGGCGGCCGCGCGCTCACCAGCCCATGCCAGCGGCCCGCCGGCCGCCTTGCCCGCGCAGCTCTGCTCTAGGCCATCTGCGAAGGCGCCATCCTCCCAACCCGGCTCCGGAGACCCCAGCCCTGCCGCTGCAGATGCCGCCGCCGCCCTGAGGAGCTAGGTCCGCCTCTGCTGCTCCGGAGCCAACTGTCAGTGAGACGCCATGATGGGGGCGGGGCTCCCGGCATGCCCCGCGGAGCGGACAATACAGGCCCCGCCCACCTCCATCCCCGCCCACCGCCCGCAGACAGCGCCCAGGCTGCAGAACCCGAGCCCGGCGCCGCAGCGTCGAGCCTGCCCTCCGGCTGACCTCCGGGTCCCTTCTTTCCTGGCCGTTCGGGGTCAGCCTGGCGCGGGGGCGCACCAAGAGAAGAGGACGTCGCTTGCCCTTCCCTGTTTATCCAGGCGTGCGCTCTTCGCTTCGGCCAAAGCCCCCACGCTAGGCAGCACAGCCAGGTTCACGCCCTACTGCTTGTTTAAATGAGATATACGCAAAAATCTGGTGCAGGATCAGGGGTGTAGCACTGGGTTGGTGTGTTTGCTTAGAAACGGGAGGCCTGGTCCCTGGTTTTTAGCTCCGGGAAAAAAAAAAATCTGTCGCAGAACAGGAGTTGCAAACGAAGATAAACACTTGGTAGAATTGAGCAGTGACTAATTAGTTACTGTAGGTATACTAAACAGCCAAGCACCAGCACTCAGAATCTGGAGAAGCCTCCATGCGCCTGGAATCTCAGCTGCCCCAAAGGCTGAAGCAGAAGTGCCACAAGTTTGAGGTCAGCCTGAGCAATTTAGAGGGCATATAAATATATATATTTTTTTTTCTTTTTTTTTTTTAAGGCTGGGAATATAGGTCAGTGATCGAGCGTACATGGATTCACTTCCCAATACCACCACAAAGTCAGGTGTACCCACCTATAATCCCAGCACTTGAATGCTGAGGCAGGAGGATCACCGTGAGTTTGAGGCCAGCCTCCACTATATATCAAGAGACTATATCCAAAAAAAAGACCCGCACAACAAAACAAAATCCAGCAAAAATAAAGAACCTGTTTGTCAATGCTTATGGCCCAGTGTGTAACAAATTTTCCATGAATAATAATAGTTACATTCCAAATATTTAACCTTGACATGAACTTTTAAAATACGCATACCATCCGGGCCTAGGGGCACATGCCTGTAACCCCAGGAATCTAGGAGGCTACCCCTAAACAGTACAGTGACATACTGAGCCCTAAAATAAATAAATTTAAAGGGCTGGGGATGTGGGTCAGTACAAAGGCCCTGAGTTCAATACCCAGTACCACACACACACCAATTTTTTTTTTTTTTTTTTTTTTTTTTTTTTGTCTTTCTCCTTTTTATCGGTACCAGGGATCGAACTCACGACTGCCTGCTTGCAAGGCAGTTCGATCCCTGGTACCGATAAAAACAAAACAAAACAAAACAAAACAAAAAAGGAATATTAATACAAGTAAATGTTCATGGTATATTGCTAAATGGAAAAAAAATCAGGCTAAAATAGTAAGTTTCAAATTTGATTTAAGGCTGAGGAATTAGCTCAATGGCACAAGTCCCTGCCTGGCAAGTGCAATGTCGTGAATTCGACCCTGGTACCAAAACAAAACAAAAAACCCAAACGTAACTTAAAATCCAGCCATGGTAGCATATACCTGTGTTGCTCTGAGGAATCTGAGGCAGGAAGATCATTTGAAGCCACGAGTTCGAGATCAGATTGGACAACATACCAAAACCTGAACAAAACAAAAATCATAACATTTAAATAGGCAATAGTGATCTGTATAGGATGGTTGCACCTTTAAAAATCACAGGCATGTATGAGGATAGGGATAGAAGTGCTACGAGGCATTTGTGTGAGTCTAAAGAGCGTGCCTAAGGGTGATTCGGGGGCGGTGGGCTGTACTTTGGAAAATTTCCCAAGTTTTCTTCCTAAAGCATGGCTAGGTCTGCAATTTTTTTTCTAGTTTTTTATTAGTCCATGTTGGCAGTGCATAGTGATCACATTCCTTGTGGGGAGTTGGTCCATGTGCATCGCACATCTCAATTCTTTCCCTCATCCCCTCCCTTACCACTCCCTCCATCTCTTGGTCCCCTTCCCTTTCGCAAAAGATCCATCTCCCTTGGTGCCTGGGATCGAACTCATGACCTCATGCCTACAAGGCAGGCCCTTATGCTGTTGAGCTAAATCCCTGGCCCTCACTTGTCTTTCATCTTGCTTTTTATTTATACTTTGGGTTTCTCATATAAGAGAAACTATGCAATATCTAAGCACGTGGGTCTGATTCATTTCACTTAACACTATGGTCTCAAGGTGCATTCATTTCCAGCCAATGACTCAGGTGTATCCTTTTTGCGAGAGTGCCTCTTCATGGTATATAAATACCACATTTTCTTTACCCACTCATTTGATGGAAAGATACTATGCTTCTAAAGTTTAGTTATAGTAAGTTGTGCTCCTATAAACATGGCTGTGCATGGATCACTGTAATATAATGTTTTTAACTTTTTCAGAAAGCTATCTATAGGGAGACTAGTTAGGTCAAATGGAATTTCTATTTTTAATTTTTTTGGTACTGAGGATCGAACTCATGACCTTGCACTTACCAGGCATGCACTTGCCACTGAGCTAAAACCCCTGACCCTATTTTTATTTTTTTGAAGAATTTGCTTTCTGGGGCTGGGGATTTAGCTCAGTGGCCTAAGTGCCTGCTTTGCAAGCAGACAGTCGTGAGTTTGATCCCTGGTACCGATAAAAACGAAAACGAAAAAGACAAAAAAAAAAAAAAAAAAAAGAAATTGCATTCTGATCTTCATCATGATTGTCCTGGTTTACACTTCCACCAACAGTGCAGAAGGGTTTCTTTTCGTCTGCAGCCTCATCCACATTTGTTATTATTTGATGTCATGATGATGGAATCTCACTGTTATTTTAGTTTGCATTCTCTAATTGTCAAAGATTTTTAACATTTTTTCATGTTATTTCTTGAGAACATGTGCTGCTTTTGAAAAAAATCGTGTTTTTAATATAAAAATCTAATATATGCATCTATGTTTACAGAAGCATGATTTATAATAGTTAAATCTTGGAAACAACACAAATTGCTCATCAACCAAGGAATGGATAAAAAAATATGGTCTTTTTATTTGATGGAGTACTACTCAGCCACAAAGAAGGACAAACTGGAGACTTTTGTCAGTGAATGGATGCAACTTGAGACCATTATTATAAGTGAAATAAACCAGATACACATGTGTAAACATCATATTGTCTCCCTAGTGTGAGCAGCTGAAAGAGTAAATAAGGTTCAAAATGTACAGTAAATATTTTAAAATGGGAAGAAACTTCAAAAGGAAAGAGACATTGGGATGGGGAATGAGAAAAAAGGAAGGGAAAAGTAAAAAAAATATGTAAGTGGCTGGGGATTTAGCTCAGCGGCATAAGCACCTGCCTTGTAAGCAGGCGGTCGTGAGTTCGATCTCCGGTACCAATAAAAATGAAAAAAACCAAAAATATATATATAAGTTAAGATAGTTATACTACTAATTTCTCTTAGTTCATTGAAAAGAAAGATTTGTACTAATATTGTTCAGACAATTAAATGCCAGTAGATTGTACCCTGAGTTACTAAAGATAACAATACGCAATGTACTAATCATTGTTATCATCCTATATCTTGTTTTGAAATTTGGGTTTTTTTCTCATAAAAAGACAAAACAATCTATTTAACACATAAGAGTCAAGGTACATCCATTCATTTATATGCAATACCCTTCAGAGCAGTCATTGATACCCTCAGTTCCTAAACAATAGAGGCTCAGAATTCAGTGACTTGATCCTGGCTAGGAAATGGCAGAAGTGAGGTTTGAACCCCTAGTAGTATGCATCCTGCACTGTTTCCCTCCCAAATAAATATTTTTTTTGCAGTAGTGCAAAGTGAACAAAGGGCCTTTGGACTGAACTACATCCCTAGATCTCTTTGTAAAAATATTTTATTTTGAAATAAGATCTCACTAAGTTGCCCAGGCTGGGGTCACTTGGTCAGCCTCTTGCCTCAGCCTCCCAGAGTTCCACATAACTCTTGCATTCTGACTATCATCTCATGCTTACAATTATCGTTCATTCCATTTTCACTAGATTCATTCCACAGACACTTATTAAGCCCCTGGCTGGGGTCAAATCCGGGAAGGTATAAAATAGAAATAGCCAGATCTGAATATTAAAGAACTGTGGTGTAAAAAAATGGATTCCCTGCTCTCAAAGAGCTGAGGAATTCTTCAAATACATATGGAAAATAGCCTAAAAGAACACAGCCATTTCTCTCTTCTCCGTTCCAGAAGAATTTCTTTCTTGATTACTGCCATATGGCTTTGTTCTCGATGTGGGGTTATTGGGATCAGCAGGGCAGGAAAGTCATCCCTCAGGGGCCTACAGCCTCATGGAGGAAAGAGACCAAATATAGACACACTGAGCTCAGCTTTTAAGCCCAGCTTGGTGCCTTGAAAACAGTAAAATGGGCAAATGTGTAGGAATTAGGCCTGGGATGCAGCTCAGGGGCAGAGAAAAGGTGTGCTCAAAGCCCTGGGTTCAGTTTCCATCACCACCAACAGGATGGCCAGTGTAGCAAATTCTCACAGTGATTGTCTGAGAAAGGTAGTATTTTTTTTTTTTTTTTGTATTTTTACTGGTAACAGGGATCGAACTCATGACCACACGCTTGCAAGACAGGCGCGTATGCCACTGAGCTAAATCCCCAGCCCCTAAAAAGTAGTATTTCTACTCTTCTTTTCTGCTAGAAAAACCAAGGCTCAGACTGCTCAATGCCACAAACCCAGTAAATATATATATATTTGTCTTTTTCCTTTTAATCGGTACCGGGGACCGAACTCATGACTGTCTGCTTGCAAGGCAGGTACTTATGCCGGTGAGCTAAATCCCCAGCCCCAAACCCAGTAAATATTGAAGCTCCATTTTCTTTCTTTCTTTCTGTCTGTCTGTCTTTCTTTCTTTCTTTTGGTACTGGGCATCTAACTGATAACCTTTACGCTTAGTAGGCAGGCGTTATGACAGTGAGCCATATCCCCAGCCCCTGAAGCTCCTATTTGAACCAGGGCTGCCTGATTCTACAACCCTAGCTTCCTCACATGGGCTTCATGGAAGCCCGTTCATTTCCTTTGCTCACAATTCCAAGCCTCTGTCAAACACCCACCATGATTTGAAAATGACCTTGAGTAGTTTGGAGAGCATTTCTTGGGCTCTGCATGTTTATATTTCAAGATCAAGAAGAGAAGGTGCCAAGAAACTATTGCCCTTCACCCTAATTTGTGAAAATAGCATACAGCCAGGGCTTAAAGTCCTTAGACTGCATAATGAAGAGTTATTTAATATTTTAACAACAGTAATTAATTAGTTATAGGCCTTACATGGCTGCTGCTGTACCTTGATGAGGCAGCTGATGAATTAATATTTATAGTTCCCCTCTGGAAATAAGACCATTTACTGGGAAGTTTTAGAATAGATCAACAAGATAAAGAAAATGTCTGGTCAAAAGAACTTTCTGCTGATAGCCTGAGGCGGGGAATCCATAGTTAGGCAAACAACAGAAAGAGAGGGAAAAAGAGAGACAGAGACAGAGACAAAGAACCAATTCATAAACAGGAGAGATTGATGGCTTATAAATTGTTTTCTTTGAAATTATTCCTTCCTGCTCTTTCGATCAAGAATAGAGGGTGAGCAGGGCATGGTGGCACATGCCTGTAATGCCAGCACTCCGGAGGCTGAGGCAGAAAGATCCCAACACTTTGAGGCCACCCTCAACTATAATAGTGAGATTCTGTTAAAAAAGAAAGAAAGAAAGAATAAAAAGAAGCAGGGAAGAAAGTAAGAAAGTGAAAAACAGGATGGACGATCAGGGTGGGGAAACCTGGGAACGTGGCTGAGGAGCCTCATTTGGAAGCTAGAAGGGTGAGGGAAGCAGGAGGATCTGTACAGGTCGGGCCTCTGTCACCTGGGAGGCCTCTCCCTGCAGCCCCAGCTGCTGACG